TAAACATTGGTTCTTTGTATTTTCATATTGACGAACTTCGCAGTCTCATAACCTCACTTACTATTATTCCAACAGTATTTGGAATTTCGGAATCTAAATTGTATATTAACAATCCCAATATAACTGACAATACTATAAATGGTTATAACATTGAACAATGCTCTACTGAAGCTAAAAAAGGCGGTATTATTCTATACTTACAATGCAATCTAAACTACAATGTCAGAAGAGATCTTATAGTGTATGCCCCAAAATACCTAGAATCTATCTTTATTGAAATCATCCATCCTTTTAAGAAATGTATAATTGTTGGTTGCAAATACCGGCATCCTTCAATAAACCCAATGGAATTTATTTCAGAATTATTTTAATCCTTTACTTGAAAAACTTAGTTCTGAAAATAAACAGGTTATGTTAATGAGTGACTTTAATATGGACTTACTAAACTACAAGGAATTCCTTATTATATCTGATTACCTTGGTTCACTTTGTTCTTGTTCTATTTACCCAACAATAAAACAACTAACGCGAGTAACCTGTAAATCTAAAACAATTATTAATAAAAACTTTTTAAATTTTTAATTTCCTAATCTTATTTCTGGTATCGTAACAATATCAGTTTCAGATCACATGGCACAGTTTGTTTGTATTCCTAGTAGTACTCCTTTCAAATGAAAAAAAATCACAACAGCTTAACAATCATTTAAGAATTTCAATGATAATGAATTTATTCAGGATATTTCGAGTATTGACTGGAAGTTTTATATCAAAAATGATGATGATGTCAATGAATCAATGAACTTCTTCTAAATACGTTCAACAAAATTCTTGATCGTCATGCCCCGTACCAAAAACTGACTAAAAACCAAGTTAAACTCATATCTAAACCTTCGATCACTAATAGAGTTCTGAAGTCAATTGCAATTAAAAATAAGCTCTACAAAAAGTATATAAAATCTAAAAAATTCCAACACAAAAAGTCAACTATTCGATAAATTTAGATTGTATAGGATTAAAATTTGCAATTTATTAAGAATTTCGAAAAAGTCATACTACCTCTACTTTTTTAACAAAAACGTCAATAATACAAAAAATAAATGGAAAGGAATAAATGAAATTATTAACATCAAACCCTCTACACCAATTAAATCTTTACTCTCAAGTCTAATGGTAACACTATCTCAGACAGTATGGCTGTTGCTAACATTTTAACAAATACTATGAAACAATACAACACCCACCCAAAAGTAAAATGATTTCTTATAAAAGTATCTTTTCTGACTATTTAAAAAATGCTAAATTTAATTTTTTCTTTCTTAATCCAGTGACTGAAAATGAGGTGTCTGATTTAATAAAAAATAGTTTACAAAATGGTAAAAGTTTAGAACCAAATAGTATCCCTATACACCTTCTTATACTTACTTCTCAAGTTATTTGCAAGCCTCTCTGTACCATATTGAATAATTCTTTTAACAAAAGTCTTTTTCCAGATGTTTTTAAAATAGCCAAAGTTATTCCTATCCATAAAAAGAGTTTTCTAATAGACCACAGAAATTATTGACCAATTTCTCTTCTATCTAACATTAGTAAAATATTTGAAAAAGTCATGTACGACAGACTTTATAGCTTTCTTAACAAAAGTCAATATATTTACAACCACTACTATGGATTTCGTAACAAACACTCCGCAACTCATTCACTTAAAAAAATAACTATTAGAAATGCTCTTGACAATAAACTTTTTACATGTGGAATGTTTCTTGACTTTGAAGAGAAAGCCTTTGATTCTGTTGACCACTCCACCCTCTTAAGTAAATTAGTACACTACGGTGTTCAAGGTAATACTCTGCAATGGTTTTCATCATATTTTCTTAATAGATCGCAATTTGTCTCCATCAATGATGCCAAATCTTTTCCAATAAAATGCTCCTCATGTGTACCCCAAGGTTCTGTATTAGGACCATTGCTATTCCTTATTTTTATAAATGATCTTAATATCTCTCTAAAATTTTCAACGGCTTATCATTTTGATGACGACACCAACTTACTCATAACAAATATATCATTAAAAAAAATTAACTAAATTATTAATCATGATATATCTAACCTTCTTCATATGCTTCGCTCTAACAAACTATGTCTTAATACCAACAAAATTTTAGATTGATTTGATTACCAATCAAATCAATCTAAAATGTATAAAACTTAAACTTTAGACTAAGTGGACCAAAAATCTTTCGCGTAGTTTCATAAAAATATCTCGGAATTCAAATTAACTCAGAGATATCTTTTTCCTCTTATTTAAAAACTTAGCAGTAAAAATGTGTAGATCAAAAGAGATGCTAGCAAAAATTTTCCACTATATCAATTATGAAACTCTACTTAATATATACCATTCCATTTTTGGATCTCATCTCAGATAAGCTTGTCAGGTTTGGGGACAATGCAAGTCTAATGCTTTTTTAAAGTTATATAACCTACAAAACAAAGCTTTAAAAATAATATTCTTTCAACGGTATCATTCTAACTCTGACATTCTTTACTTTCTATCAAAAATACTCAAATTATGTGATCTTGTTTATTTAATAAATTGTCTATTTGTCTGGAATCATAAACAAGTAAACTTCCCTCCGTCATTCTCCAAATTTTTTTTACCACTAATAAAAGTTCTTCTTATTACCTTCGATCTTTGAGTAACTTTAAATTATCTATGCCAAATTGCTGTTCGGTAAAATACAGTGATAATTCTATTACAAACCAGTACTTTGATTTGATACGGGATTAATTTACCTTTTCATTTTCAATCCCTCTTTTTCAAAATTTAAAACCCGTTTTTTTGACTTCTTGATAGAAAAATACTCTAATTAAAATCTTAGGCTCATAATAGATCATTATTACCATTGTTATTAGTAATATTATTATATGTGATGCTAATATCACTTACATTTTATTTACATTTTTATTACCGTCATTATTACTTATTAAAATTGTTTCATATATAAATGTGATAATTGTTAATATTATTGTTATTGTTATTATAATTGTTAATTTTTTTGTTATTATTGCTATTATTATTATTGCTATTATTATTGTTGTTGTTATTTTATTGTTATTATTAATATTATTGTTGTTGTTATTATTGCTACTGTTATTATTGTTATTATTGTTGTTGTTGTTACTATAGTTACTAATATAATCATTATTATTGTCATTATTATGTTTAATAGTATTATTGATATTATTATAATTGTCTTCATTTAATTTACAATATTATTATTATATGACTGTTATTATTATTTATTTGGTGTTTACCTTAGATTAGTACTCGTACTGTTAGTAAACAACCATGAAATATAAACTTTTATTTCTGAATATGTATTGTTATTGTTATTGTTTTGAAACTCCTACAGTAAAAAGTCCAACTATTAGACTGTGGTAGATGATTTCTGCTAAGTCCAATAATTAAACTTTCGGGAAACTAAAGTTCAAAATTTTTTTTTTTAATAAAAAAAACATTAACCTCTTCAAAATAAAAAAATTAACAAACGTTAACTACAAGGAAAAATGCAGACTTTTAAAGTAGAATCCCAAAAGTTTTCATAGTTGGATTTACGCCCTTATAACATTCACCAATTCATATATTAAACTCATTGCTTCAAATGAAAGTGTTTTAATTAAGTATGAGTGGTACCCAATTCTTAATAATAAGTATCCTTTGAATATTAAATCCTATATTTAAAAACATTTTTGTTTTTAAAATATTAGAGAAGCTGACTTAAAGCTCTGTTTTGTTTGATATATTAGGCTACTTACAAAAAGTAGATATTTCTGTTGTATTAAAATTCAGACGCATCAAATGATATAGTATATCAATAGATCCAGCTTTAACTTCTTTTCATTAGGATTATTAGGATCATTAGGATCATTAAGGTCACAAGAATCATTAGGATAATATTGACTATAATATAGTTTATCTATTAGTGTTGAGTTTACTGTATCAGTAAATGATACAGTAAACCCAATCATGTCAGGTTTATCACTGGTTATCAGTGATAAACCTGACATGAATGAGGGACACAGCATCGGTACACTTTTAAGTTTTTTCTTTTCCTGGTCAGAATATATTTAAACAGCAAAATATTTGTATCTAAATTTTTACAGATTGCTTTAGGAGTAGTTAAATGAAATAGAACAAAATCTTGGTTATATCAATAAAATTAAAAGTGAAAACAGCAGTGAAAATAAAGTTAACGTAAAAATGCTCAATTGGAAGTTTTTGATTTTTGACGACCGCCTACAGTCTACTGTACTGTAAAATACGAGCATTTTTTTCAAAATAATAATTTTGATTTGACTGAAGTTTATTATAAATGTATTATTTAGGCTTTTTGGTTTTAAATGTATTTATAAAACTTAGCTACTCTGGGCAACCTAAAATAAGTTATTAAAAATGAATAGTTTTTTTTATTATTAATTTATCTTATTAATTTTAAATTTAATTTTAAAATTTAAAATGGTGTAAAATATATTATTGATAGAGTTTTAAAAAGTTTAAGTATTTAATTATTAAAGATATTGATAACTTCAAAGACTTTTTTTTTAATTTTTAAACTTTTACTTCAAAGCATCTTTAAAATGTTAATAAAACCAGTCAGTGGCGGAAAACAATAAAATATCGTTATTATATATTTGGTATGTACATATCTGTAACTTTTGAAATATAGATGCTTTTGAATTGAAACTTTATTTTATTGAAAAAATATTTTTACAATCAAATAAGTTAAATATATATATAAGAACAAATATTTTATTATTTATTGATGTTGTGGTACAATGAAATGTTATATTATTGATGTTGTGGTACAATAAAGTATTCTATTACGAGTCTGCTGTTTTTACAGGGTTTAGGAAAACCATTATTTGTTAAACTTTGTGCTATATAATTGACAGCACTGTCAATTATATTGTACCACTTGGTACTATGTAATTGACTATATAAATTTTCAGAATAAAGTTTATTTATATTTATTTCATTGTGCCCACAAGCTTTATTTACTGTTACTAATTGTATATTTTTATTTTAAAATAACAAATCATTTGAACCTTATGAAGTTTTTGAATTTTTTAAATTTTTTGAATTTTTTGAACCTTTTGAATTTTTTGAAGGAAGTTAAATTGTATAATATCTTTCAGAAACTTTTAGGGATGTTTATCAATGTTTTTTGAATACTGAGGTAGGCCTAGTTTTAAACTTTTACTGTAAACTTATACAAAATGAACTATTTTTGCAACATTCTTCAATCCTTTTGTAAAAGTCTTAGACATAATGTTTATTTTATCATTTTTTTTCTATGTTTTCTAGGTTTGTAACTGCAATTTGAATTGCAAAGCAATGAAGCTTGTGTGATGGCAATATTTAACTCTTATCAGAAAAAAAATTACAAAAATTAATATAAGAGAAATTTTTGATAATGTAAAAATCATTTTTACTTTGTAAATATTTAGACATTAATTTACATTTTTGTCGGTGGCTAATATTTTTGTTTATTATTTTCAGCTCGCAACATTATTTTCAGATGATAAATAAATCTAAATTTTATTTGGAAAAGAAGTAGAATGCAACATTCAAATAGTGACTTTAAGATCAAATCTATCTATCTGTCAAGTAATTGTAAAGTTAAAGCAATGCTACAGCCGAGCCCATATCTCAATCTCTCTGAATATGTATCTGTCAAAGATCAATCTACAAATTTGTGACATTTTCTGTATTTCTTTTTGTTAAGGATGTACCTTATTTGCTATCTATTATTTTTTTCAAATAAAACTCCTAATAATTATATTGACCTTTTTTTAAAGCATTATGTAATATAATATTGAATTTATATTTAAATATATATAATAAGACATCTTTCAATTTCACCAAAAATTTTTATTTATAAGATATAATTTAACTTTACTAAAAAAATAGAAAATTATTTAAAATAATTTTAAAATAATATTAAAAATATAATTAATTAAAATAATAATAAAATGTTTTTTTACTAAAAAATAACTGATTAAAATAACTATAGCAGAATTTTTATGATAACAAGTTTTGCATAAACTTCTCATATTTTGATATCATGTTTTGATATCATGTTCAGAATCATATCAATGCGTGATTTTATTTTGAATCATATTGATATCATAAATTTCTCATATTATAATATCAGAGGTTGAGTTCAAAATGATATCAAAGAGCGATTTTATTTTGATATCATATTGATATCATAAACTTCTCATATTATGATATCAGGGTTCGAGTTCAAAATGATATCAATTAGTAATTTTATTTTGATATCATATTAATATCATAAACTTCTCATATTATAATATCAGGGTTCGAGTTCAAAATGATATCAATAAGTGATTTCATTTTGATATCATATTAATATCATAAACGTCTCATATCATGATATCATATATATCATAGTTTGATATCATTTTATATTATTCTGATGTTAAGTTCCTGACTGGATTGTTTTACCTCCTAAGTTTTTAAGTAATAAAAATATTTATGCAAAAAATTGTAAAAAAGAACAAATAGTAATAAATTTTAAATAGTCTACCTTTTTTGTGTTTCGCATGGGTATATGCATCATTTGTTTAATGCCATATTTCTGAATATGGATTCCATAAATCTGAATTCCAGATTTTTTGAATGGTTGGCCAAGGGTCAAATATTTTTAAGACGGTTAGATTCAAGGAATAGTTTTTATAGCCAAAACTATCAAAAACAAAATAAAAAAAAACAAAATCATAAACCTCAGACTTTTAATTCACTAAGTGTAAGTATGATACTAAAAAAACACTGACAGTAATCTATGATTTAATAGGACATAATAAAACATCTTTACACCCTAAAGTAATCAAAAATAATGACAAATTTTGTTTTAAAACATTTTTTACAAATTTAGGATTTGACTGGTCTTAGTATTCCATTTTTTTAAATAGTATAACTATCCTTTTTAAAAGCATATTTCTTCAAATTTGAAGTAAAATTAACAGAAGTGTATGCAATTTACAAAAATAAAATTTACTCTGATATTTCTCATAAAAGGCATATACATTTCTGCGTTTTTAAAAACATTTGAACTTATAGTTTACAACAAAAAAATGGAACATTTTGCAAAAAAACAACTTCTTAAAATTAAAACAATTACTATTTCAGAAAAACCATTCCACTGAACAAGCTATTGTATTAATGCTACTGTATTGAATTAATTAATCAAATAAATTATAAAAATGAAAACAAAAATAAATTTACTTTAGGTACATTTAATAATTTAAAAAAAGTTTTGACATCGTTGATTAGAGTATTTTGTTAGAAAAATTAAGGCATAATGGATATTTAATAGCGTCTAGAATTGGATTAAAAATTACCTTATAAAAAAACAACTCGTTTTTAGTATTGAATATCGAATACTTATATTCCCGAGATTTAGCAATTTTTCTCTTCTTAGTTTAAATCAATGACTTATATTATATACAGCAATACGTTGAACCCATTTTGCTTGCAGATAATATCAACCTGTTTCTTTCCAGCAATATTATTACACAACTTTATGCATACATGAATTTCGCATTAAACTTGAAAAATATTTAGTTTATGGTGAATAAATTTCTAATATGAAAAATAAACGTCAAATCTATACTTTACTTCATAACAAAATGCAAAAAAGTTAAGTTTGATTTAATTTACCAGATTCTATTTTTAAATAATAAATGAATAAATAGCAAAAATATTTAAAATTTGCATAGTTACTTGTCAAAAAATGAAGCATAGTAAATTAGGGTGTGTTAACCTTTTTAAAGCAACCGATGTATGTATGTATAAATGTATGTATGTATATTTATAAATACTTATTATTATTATTATTATAATAATAAACAAACTTATTTTAAAAAGTTATACCTCACGCTATTCATTGTTACGTGTGCAATATAAAAGGTATAGTAAAACTAGAATATCTTACATAGATTGCAAAGGTATTTTAGGTTTATTTATGTCATCGCAGTCCTCTTTTATTAAAACTCCATGTCTTTAAAGTCTTTGTTGGTTTTTAATTCAGAAAAAAAAAACTGTTTTCCTCTTCTAAATCTAAAGCTAATTTGTGTACTTGGACTTGATCTGGCTTTGGGTGTTATTATTTCTCTAAGTTATAAAATATTAATTTTTTTTTTTAATTGCTTATTTCATTTACACTAAATAAAGATCATCAAAGCCTAGAAGAAAAAAAAGGTTGCAACTATTGATGTATTTTTTGAGTTTTCTTGGCCAACATGGATATACCTTTACATAGACCAGCGTGATTTCTCAGATTTCATTTAAAATGAGCTCTTATATTATTATTATTTTTGCTTTGGCTCTGCACCACATTGTAGAGGGTTAAAGTTAAAACTTTTGCCTGTTCTAAATTTTTTTATCTGCTTTACGTTTTTTTCACAAAACTTAAAACTGGCATGACATTTTCAAAGTGGACTGAAAAAACAGATTTGTTTGCATTTTCTCCTGTGGTATTTATTTATTGTAAGTTCAACTTGCTGTTCTATTTGTTGTTTATTTTAACAATTTTTTTTTTTTTCGCAACATAAACGAAAAAACACATTTTAAAACTTATTGCGCGAGCTTCTTGTTTTTGATGAAAGTAAATAGATTTTAGCATTGTATTATGAGTGCTTCCCTATCTATATAGGGGAGCACTCATAATATCTATATATTCGTATAGTTTGTTATGATTATGTATGAATAAAAAGTATAATTTTTCTAAATGGTGTTTACTCAATAAGTGTATTCTTAATTAATCTTTTTAACGGCTTTTACTCCAGACCGGATGAGCTCTTATATTATTATTATTTTTGCTGTATAGTGTATTCTTAATTAATCTTTTTAACGGCTTTTACTCCAGACCGGATGAGCTCTTATATTATTATTAACTTTTTAACGGCTTTTACTCCAGACCGGACCTTAGAGTACGCCCTTTCAAAAAATTTACTAACGTCAAAGTGCGTAACAGGCCGCTAATAAGTTCTTAAAAATATTCTAAGTTCACACAGTTTTTGTGTTCACACAGTTTTTGTGTCGTTTGGGGTGGTACTCTTGGGGTTGATAGACGTTTATTAAAATTTTAATATACGTTTATCTAGATAATACATATACGCCGTAGTTCTAATTGGCCATGGTGACCGTCTAAAATGAGTAGGAATATATTTTTATATTTGTTTCTTTAAAGTGACGGTGCCATGTTATAAATATGTCTTTCTGAATCTACCCTGAAGATTTGTAGTAGAATGCGGTTTCCGGTGGAGTACCTTCTGAGGCTAGATAACCGCATATATCTAAGAAAAGTCATCAAAGTTGGAACAAAAATGCCGTATGCACTAATGCACAGATTTAAATTTAGAAAAAGTTCTCTGTTGGTAGATGTAACTGCACCTACTCGACGCACAATAAATTGCTTTATACAAGCTAGTGAACAAAAATATTTTGTTGAGAAATTTTGATTCTTATGAATCTCATTAATAATATGTTTTTAGTTGCACATTTTTTGATTATTTAATTATTTATAGTTTTAAGTATTGCGCTTGCATTATAAGCAGGAGCTCCAGGTTCAATACGAGCTTTGGACATTTTTTCTTGTCACGGTAAGGCGTGAACTTCCAGGTTAAATGCACTTCCGCGGTGTTCTGTGACAAAACCGTAAAGTCTTCCTTGGGCACTTAAATAACAAAAAAAAAAAAGATTTTTTAAATTTTGTTTTGAAAATAATTAATTAAGTAATAAAAATAAATTTAAAAAACTTTACTTCAAAACATAGATTATGCAAAATTTTGCCGAAAATAAATATAAAAAAATAACTAACTGTAAATCAACTGAAAAAGTAAAATAAAAATGTATTATCTTAAAAATTATCATCAAATGAATCATTTTTATTTTCACTATCCGAAGAATTGGTTTCCAAATGGACTTCATTGCCTTGTTTTTCAAAAACATGCATTTCCGACAAGCTATGGTGGTATAACAGGTATGATGCTCGCGGAACAAAAATTTTGAAGGCGGGCTTCTTGAGTATAGTTGTCCAGTTGTTCAGAATAGCTGTCTGGTTGGGGCAACTTTCACTTTATTAAAAAACTTATATTTTCAAACTAAATTTTAGAAAAAATAAAATTTATCATGTTTTTGTTAACATACGTTACATGAAAATTACAATGGTTCTTTTGATATTTTCTTGAAATATATGTTTTATAAAGTATAAAATCTGACCAACAACAATTTAAAAATGTTAGCGCCATTCTCACACTAAATTAATTCCGATTATGCAAAAAAATTCATGGTTTAAATAACATTTTACAATGATACCTTTTTTAAAATTCGACAATGAGAAAAACCGTAGCGTTCAGAAGCATAAAAATGACTTAAATAAATTGATTTTAGAACTTAATGTTTTTTTAATTTATTGTAATTTTTTTAATAAATTTTCATGTGTCTACATTAATACTCAATTGCTCAAGTTGACGAAAAAAAGAATAAAATTTGATTACTTTTTTATTTTCCGTCGTGGAATTTCCCATATTGTTTGTTATTCTCTAAATGCGATATACTATTCAAATTTTAATTTCTTGTCAATGTTATTCTATCCATGTTTTACTCCAAAAAATGTGCGGTCGCAGCGTAAAGATTTTTGTTAAAACGGCGGTAGCGAAAGAGTAAATGCAAAACTATTTCATACGTTTTTAGTTAAAAATATAAATACGTCAATTAATAAGAGTTCTCTCAATACTATTTTTAGTTTATTTG